GGTAACATTTACTGAGAATTTACTAAGTGCCAAGCATCTTTCAAGTCCTTTATGTAGTACCTCATTTAGTCTTCCCAACATCCCTATGAGATGTCGTTGCTGTTAGTTGCTGTCAAGTTGGCTCCAACTGAAGACAGCCCTACCTACAAGATAATGAAACATTGCCCAGTCCTGTGCCATCATGTTAGTGGGTACGTTTGAGTCCATCATTGTGGCCTTTCTATCATTTCATCTCATTGAGGGTTTCCCTCATTTTTGTTGACTCTCTATCTTACCAAACATGATATCCTTTTCTAGTGATTGGTCTTTCCTGATGACATGTCCAAAGTGAGGGAGTCAAATTCTCACCATCCTCACTTCTAAGGAACATTTTGATTCTATTTCTTCTAAGACTGATTTGTTGCCAATTTGTCATGATATGGTGGCTTTTGTGTTGCTGTCATTCTGGACACTATGCCACCAGTATTTCAAATACCAGCAGAGTCACCCATGGCAGACAGGTTTCATTGGCACTTCCAGACTAAGACAGAGTAGGAAGAAAGGCCTGATGATCTATTTTGGAAAATCAGCCAATGAAATCATTATGGATCAAAAAAAAAAAAAAAAAAAAGACAGAACCCCCTATGAGATAGGTACTATTTATTATTATTCCCATTTTAGAGAGGAAGACATTAGCCATGAGAGGTATGGTAACTTGCTCAATGTCACACAGCCAATAAATGGCATGAGCAGAAGGATTGAAAGAGAACTGAAAAGGCAATGAATTTCTCATTATGTGAGTGAATGTTATTATATGTCCTGTTCTCATAACTTCTAAAATAGTCTCTCCTGTCTACCACACCTCAGGAGAGTCCATTATGCAATAAGATGCTCTTTAGAATTTTTATAATTTGACTCTTTTCTTTCTAGCCTCATCCTCTGCTACAGGAACCTCTCATTCTCTTGCCATTGCCTGAGGCTGCTATATTTTGTATTTTCATGCCTTTGCTTATTCTGTCTGCCTGGAATGTCTTTCTTCCCCTTTCCTGTTAATTCTAAGCATACTCAGCTCAAATGATGAATCACAAAGCAGTCCCAGTCGCCCTAGTCATAATTAATTGCTCCTTCACCTTGAGTCTAGACAACTCGGTTTGTTCTTCTGTTGTGGAACTTTCTTTATTCTTTGCTGTCATCTCTAGAGCAGAGGCCTTGCCCATTAGCCTCTGTATCCTCCATTCCTTAGCATAGTGTCTTAACACAGAGTAAGTGCTCAATAAACATTAGTTACATTAGATTTATACTTGGAGAGTTTCTTCCCACATCTCTGTCAGTATGGCAAGTAAATGGGGATAGGATAGGGCTAAGAGGATGGAGAAAGGAAAGCCCCTGTGAGTCTGGGGCTGGGAAAAGTAGAAAACCCAGGAGACAAAGAGACACCACATTGCTGCCCTTTCAGGTGCAGAGGAAGAGAAGGCTGGCTACATCTAACATCTAACAGTGGCATCTTTTCATAAGAACTAATTATTTTATTCCTTTTAATAATCCTTCTCATCAGTAAGCCCTCAAAAATGCTTTTTTTAAAAAACAAATACATTCATGAACAAACTACAGAGAAGAAGGCATGTTCATATGAGAAAATTCCTAAATTCCTCCCTATTGTTAGACCTAAGAGGGTTCCTACCCCAAAATATAAACCTTTTACTTTCTTAGTCTGTTAGAAGGCTACACAGGGCAAATGGAGGGAGATGAGGCCTACTTATCATGACAAGTGGAGGTTCTGCTTCCCTGAGTGTTTATGTACACACTTTGTGTGCTGTTTATCCCACGTGGTGGAACACCAAGTAAACACCCTTAATGAATACTCAGGAGTTCCTGGGTGGTGTTAACTATGCCTGGCAGCTAACCGAAAGGTTGGAGGTTTGAGTCCATCCAGAGGCACCTGGAGATCTATTCCCAAAAAACCAGCCACTGAAAACCCTATGGAGCAGCTCTACTCTGATACACATGGGGTTGCCATGAGTCAGCAAAGACTCTATGGCAACTGGTTAACTGGTTTAATGAACAGTCAGCACACCATTGAGAACGTGAGTTTCTGTGTACAATGACTGCATTTGCCCTATTCACCTTCCCGCCTCCTGAGGGAAACAAGCCTTAAGACCAGGGCCTCCAGCACAGTTGTTCCCAATATCTCATCAACCCAAACATGTGGGTTCAAGGGGGCGCAGGCAGTCCTCTCCCATTTGAGGAGGCAGTAATGTAAACAAAGAGTTAAAGGTTATGATGAAGGGACTTTCAGGGTTGTACGGACCTGTAGCTCGCTGTGAACTGTCATCTGCACCCTGCTCCTAGTGAAATGCACTTTGATTTCAAATACACCAGGCCTGGTGATGTGGAACACTGCACAGTCCCAGGTTTAGGGATTGCTCTCTCACACCTATTCAGAGATGACCCCATCTCTCCCTCGGAGCTGCAATTCACTCCCTTCACACCTTTAAGCACCAGACCTGGGATGCTTAAAGCTCTCTAGCCGCTCCCGGCACACGAGTCAGAATCA